GAATTATAAAATAATTATTTTACTCACTGTACTTCCCTCAAACCTGCTACTTGTATTAAACAGATGAATTAAAATAAGAACACTTTACTGTGAAGCTGAAATTTAAGCAAAAAATATTTAAACTCAAACTCACTTGACCTGTTTGATTCCCAATTCCCTGCAATAGTGCCACGCTCCGCCAAAGGGGCCCTGCCACCCACTTATTTGAATGACACATGACTGCACATAGACCAAGACATAAACAAGGCGATTTGTTTTATTGTTTTTTTTAATCGACTTTATATCCTTCAACTTGATAAAAATGACAAGACTGGAGCACGGCAGGGGTCAAATCACTGAGGCAGTGACAAACACGTTAACTGCTGCATACAATTCACTCACTGCTGAACTTCATAATGCTTTATGCCTAAGCTATCATCCTGTCCAATGGCTGATTCACCCTGGACATTCCCTGCAGCTGTTTGGGAATTCACCACACAAACACATAAATAAAACACAGTTCCAATAAATAAGAGCCAAGACATAAATCCAGCCTTAAAGTGATAAGTGGGTGTGTGGAAACCAAAGCATGATGCCAGGAGGTAAACCGGCACAGGAAGGAGTCGTATTGGGAGAACACCATTTACTGGCCTTGAGGGCAGGTGCCTCGTGGCACTACGAGTTGGAGAAGAAGAGGGGAAATAAATGTGATGCTACAAGCAAAGCCAGGAAAGATTAGCATTGAAGAAAGCTCACAGTGAGCCCGGGAAAATCTGTTTCAGGAATGGAGACATTGATCTTGGGCTTTTTTTTAGGAGCAAGCAGCAGAACAGGGAAGATGAGGTAAGGGCAAAATAAAAATAAAAAAAGTTATCTTCAGCTTCATGTGTGTGATCTGGCCTGAAGCATTAATGTGAATGCAGTAACTCTGAAAGTCTGGATGGAAAAAAAATCCTATATTCTTATTTCACATTTAGGGAAACTATTTAGGCTTTCACACCGGCAGGGCTCCTTGCCTGTGTTGGTTCCTGAACCCACTTTCAGAACCTGAAAAGTTGATTCTCAAGGGTACCATATCATGACATCATCAGTCGCCATGTGTCTTACTAAATAAATACATAAAGCAGCGACTGACGGCAAACATGACATGAAACCTGCGGATCGTCTTCTCACCATCAACACCTGGTGCATGCTGGACTGTTGGATGAAAACAAATGTCTGTAGCAACAGGATGAAGGACGCAGATGCTCCATGCAATCTGCCATTTTACCACTGCTGTGTTTGTTTACTGTCGCCTTAGTAACGAAGAGTAACGTCTTCCCAATTTGGTTCGTCCGACTAAACTGGTGTGAAGTGACTTACGTTCCACTTCCACTTACGGTTCTTAGACTCTAGAACGGAACCAGTGCGAGAACCAGAACTGGGTCTGTCTAAAAACACAACTTTTCTATTTTAACCACCATCAATCCAACTATGGTGCTGAAATACATGCTCTTATAAATACACACTGCAGGTAAAAGTTTTCATTTCATCAAAACATCTTAAGCTTAAAATACATCTTAATGCCCAGAATGAACAACAAACGGACAACAACAACAACAACAACAACAACAAAAAAGATTCCTGAAAATAATTTGGATAGATGTCCATGAAAATCCAACTCCCCTGTGTTGGAAACTCTGATGCCCCCTAGGGGAGTCGTGACACAATGGCATGTCCCCATTGTCTTTCAATAGGGACATGTCATTTATCATAATAAAAATAATAATACATTTGTTTTCAATAAAAAAAATTTCACCCTGGCAACACAAGGCTGAAATATGATTGGATAAAAAATTTGAGCATATGCAACTGGAATCAGCACAACCAAGAGGAAAGCTGAGAATGAATGATGAGAAGACTTATTTTAAGTATTCTGTATTATCTATAACAGGCATGGGCAAACTAAGGCCCGTGGGCCAGATGTGGCCCGTTCAGCAGTTTGATCTGGCCCACCAAAATTTTCCTAATCATATAATTTATATATATTATCAATATAGTTCCACCTTTTCCCTGCAATACCACTTTTCTCCAATAGATGGCGTAGACAACGATAAAAGCATTTTAGCATTTTACTGTAGCCTCATGCATGACTTTTACATGTCATGTATCTTAGTTCACACGAACGTTCCATCTATCTGCTCCTGACCCGACCCCCCTGTTCAATTTTAGTACAATCGTGGCACAGTAATCTAAAAGTTAGCCCACGCCTGGTCTATAATACAGTAATCCAAAAGTTAGCCCACGCCTGGTCTATAATGATAAATATATAGAAAAATGAGTCACTGATTCTGATACTGTTTAGGCCAGCAGAGAAGGCTTTGCTGCCCTTGATGATACACCACTGACCAATCAGATCAATCAGAAGACAGTTAGTACCCAGAGCATACATCAAGCCAATGTAACTGCGAAACATAATCAGTATAAGTCTTATTTGTACCATTATAATTCATGGTCAGGCCCCTTGTTTACATAATCCTTGCCAGTTTGGCTTTTTAAAATGTTGCACCGACAACTGTGGTAATGAATACTGGGAGAGTTACTTGTTCTAAACAAATTAGAACAAACTTTTGTCTAAAACAAATATCACACCTAAGCCATAAAAGTAATTACTGCTGCAAGAAGGGTTGGAGAATGATTACATTTCATCTAATGCACATTTGTACTATGCACTTGCTCTTCCTTCCTTGGCAAAAGCAACACCCCTGTTGTGCTAAAGCTCAAACTCCTGGCATCTGCTCACAACCAAGTTTGTCCTTAGCTATAAAGAATGGCATCTACGCAGGCTTGTACTGTCACTGACTAACATTAGTTTGTAATTATGCACATAATGAGTGTACACAGGCAGGCATGGCAGTTGTTGTAATTAGTCTTAAATGCATAAAGAATTGTTTCTCTTTGATACATTGCCTGTGTCTGTGTTGCAGTGCAGGGTTGAGCAGTCTTCAAACACAGCAGGGATTTGCAGGGATGCTCAGGTTTGCCGGACAGTAAATTAGTCGGCGAGGGAAATGGGTTTTCTGCATAGCGTGGGTGTCTCAAACAGAAAGGTTAATGGCTTTATGAAACTGCAATGACATATTATCGCACATACCTTCAAGCAAACAAATTATTTTATTGTCCGATTGGGGGGGAAAACGTAACTGTTGCAGCCTGGGAGAGTGCGATATCCGTGTGTTTGCACAGCCTTGAGACGCCGTGAGCAGCTGAGGCATGTTTACAGTACATGCGCTGTGCATGGTCGCATTTGCATACGTGACATGGCGTTTATTTATGTGCACAGGCAACATCCCACCACCTCTGTGTTCTTTATGGCTGCTTTATTCCATTATTTCAGAGCCTAGCCAAAGGCACAGACAGCACTAGGGGGAGCGTGGCGGGGGGTGGGGGGTGATCTGTCTGTGGGGTTCAGGTCTCTGAGACCACATCGAAGTGTCTCTTGACTGGTCACTTACAAATGCAGAGAGGTGCACTACCCGTGTACAATATACAATATGTTTGATGTGAACACATGTAAACCCTGCAGGAGCATTTGCCACAAAGCAGTAACTTCCCCTGGGGATACATACAAACAAACTAGCCTCAAATGCAGCATACATTATGTGTGTGTGTGTGTGTGTGTGTGTGTGCATGTATCCGTGTGTAAGCGTGTTGCTTTTTTTTTTCTTGTGGTGAACAAGGGCTGGTAGGAAATGTCAGGATATGCATGTGTTTGTCACCATGTGGCAACACAGAAAGACAGTCAGGTGTCTGTCTGTGTGTGTGTGTGTGTCAGTGTCAGTGTTTAAGTGTGTACACATTTTGGACTCAGGTGTGGGCCATTACCTTTGATGCCTGGCCGTGGCTGCTGTAGACCCTATCAAGTGGAGGACATCAACATCACCCTTGTATACACACACACACACACACACACACAGCGGCTTGGCGGAACGTCACCTGGGAATGTATATCCTCCACCGAAGACAATTTATCTTGATGGCTGAGATGCTGCTGCCCCATGGCGCTCTCTCTTCCCCCCATCAGTGTCCCTCAGGTTGTGTGAAGGTACAAAGGCAAAACTGACATGATTTTTTTTTTTTTTCCCCCAGTCTGATCGACGACGGCCCAGCTGCTCTGTCTCCATACAAGTGAAGGAACACGTTGTCGACCTGCCTGGGGTTTGTACCAGGGACTACAACACAGCCACATGGATGCTGCACAGTAAATTGCCTTCACTATAAGGTGTGGAAGTTTTGTGAGCATATAAGCATCACCCAGAAATGCCCAGGGAGACAAGACGAGATTGGAACACTCATACTTCACTTTAAGGGCAAAGACAACAGGCTGAATTCTTTTTTTCTTTTTTTTTTTTTGGTCTGAATTCTTTTTTTCTTTTTTTTTTGGTTTGTTTGTTTTTAGACGAATTCTTTTTTTCTTGGTTTTTTTTTTTTTTTAGACTTTTATCTTATGAGGTGGGGATTCCTGGCAAGCGCTCTCTCACTAGCTGCAAATACATGGTCCTGCAGTCGGAGAGTGACTGGGGCAGATGTTTGGCCGTGTTACGACCCCGGTAATAAGACAGACGTGGCCGTGCCGCATCAAGAGGGAGCAGGTGCTCGCACCGCACAGCCATTACCATCAGCACTGATGAGGCCAGGGACCCAGACATGCTGGATGTTTGATGGTTAGTATCCCTAAAAGCAGACGCATAAATAAAAGTGCAAGCTGGTGAAGTCAGCAGACCTGGTGCGATGAATCAGTGCACCTATAAAAGTGAGCGTATATTCTGACGTTATTATGCATTTGATCATTTTTATTATCTGCTGTGATCCCTATGAATTTCTTTGAATGTCCTGTTTGGCACCGACTCTGCTGCTGTGAGATCCATCCTGTTGTGATGAACATGGTTAGCCTACTGTAGAGATCAGAGAGTGGAGTGAATTACATGACTCCTCTCCCTGTGATGAAAGGTTAAACATATGAGAGCTGAACGGGAGCATGTGAGGTGACGACAAATGGAGGGACACATGAATGAGTGTTTGACAGGCGGGATGAAAGTGGTAAAAAAAATAAATAATAACAGATGCAGCGTGATTTGATGGGTAGATGGATGGATGGATGAATGTATGGATGAATGGAGGAGGGGGAGGAGGAGAAGAAAGAATACAAACACACACGAGCCAGTATCACTTTGACGTCCTCTGACGTCACGCTGATGCAGATCTGCCCGGTCGGAGGCGAGCAGAGGAGCAGAGGAAAAACATTAAAAGTCCTCAACACATTAAAATGTCTTTAGCATCCTTTCCCTTGGACGACCACGTGACAGCCGGCGCACGGCGCAGCGGATTAGAGTGCGTTTTCATCGGAGAGCGAAGGCGTCAGAAGCTGCGGTAAACACGTCGCAGTTTCTTCATCTTTTTTCTGTTAGACCATATTGAGGTCAGAAAAAAAAGCGTTGCCACGGCGACCGGCTTGCTAGGGAAGACACTGCGGCGCGCGTCACACGCCGGGGACAGACGTGCGCGTGGGCGTGCGCGTGACGGTGCGCGTTCCAAAGGCGAAGCGGACGCGGCGCCAGCACACCAGCAGCGGCAGCGGCACAAGCGTCATCTCACCCGTCTACCGCCGGAGAACCGCACCGCGCATCTCCGCCCTCACCGAGGCTCGCACCGGCTACTGCGGGCGCTGATTGAAGCACTCGATGAGGACATTTATCCAGGATTTATCGGAGGAAACATACACCCGGCTGCAGCTGCAAGCGCTGGTCCGCACAGGTGACTCAATCCGCCGAGTCCCTGCAGACACGTCCGTGTTATTTTGTTTTTGAAGGGAAAATATTGACCTTATCTCTGTGGCAAACAGGAGCGGTCAGATAATTGATGCACAGTTCACCTTTTCCGAACCGAGCCTGCATGTTCCGATGGGGAACCATACCACGTCCCTGTGATTCCTGTGCTGTGTAATGCAGTGGCACTGCTTCTTTTTTTCCGAGTCTCCAAACATGACCCACCTGCTGGACTGAACGAGGTATCAGTGCTGCCAGCGGTGGCAGATTTATCCGATTGAGTGCAATTAATTTGTTTATTTATCTTTCGGTTTGTTTGTTTCGTTCATTTTCGAGTGAGAGTCTTTTAATCGTTTTGATTTATGTTTTGTTGGCACAGTTTTTTTCTCGTCTGGAGAAGACTAGAGGAGGAAGAAGACAAGGAGAAGGGGAGAAATCTTTAAAAACAAAGAAAAGAAAAGAAAAAGAAGATCGGAAAAGCGGGGTTAAAAGAGTCTTCGATGAAAATCTGGCATCCTATCGGCCAGATTAACAGGTAGGTGCGAGTTGATTTATGACACCTGTTTTTATTAATTGCAGTTATGAATCAGTTGTTTTTATTTAAAGACAAATCACACAGACCCATACTGTCAGCTGCAACATTTTAGATAATAAATATAAATATTTCTCATTCCTGAATTTTTCTCAAATTCCCGGTCATTTTGTTGCACTTTAACTGTGTTGTCCAGTTTTGCATTGAATGCATTCTGTGTGCATGTAAATTTAGAGTGTCATGTCAGAGCAAATTGGGAATGTGTGTGTGTCCTGCAGCAAGACTTTCCTTTGTATAAGATATAGGATGCACTTCCCTCTGTGCCCTTCCTGAGGACCTGGACTCAGAAGGCTGCTCGTGTGAAATCACACACACAGAGAGGCGGCTATTCAGTCACACTGCTGCTTCAAAAATGTAGAATTTATCATGTGGTATTTTGTTTTTTTCCATCAGTAACAATGCTGCTTTAGTTAATGTGCAAACAGTGATCGTTTCTCTGGTCCAGTCTGTCGCATGGGAAAAGAGAAAGGGGAATTTTTTCTTTGCAAGCAACATCCTCCCGTGCAGACAGATGCTGGCAACGGTGCACACAAAGCCCCTCTTTAATATTTAAATCATTCTTCACCATAATAGGAGCATCTTTTCATGAGGTCTTTATACTGAAAAGACCTCAGGAAACGCCATGGCCATGAGAACATATTCCCCTAAAAGCGTTCACACACAGAGAGCAGGAAAGAATGGGGTGCATTTATATGCCACGGCTGGTGTTGCGGGGCATTGGAATGGGCCAGTTCTGCTAGATGATAGAATTCATCGGGGGACAAGAGGACCTCTGTTCTTATCTCCAGCAAGAGAAGGGGAAGACAGCTCTACTCAGCACAGCTCACCTTCTCTTCACGGCCTCAGCAGCAAGCCTGCCCTGTAAAGCAGAGAGGGACTTCTCTCTTCTGTGGGGAGAAGCATTTTAATGGAGAAAAATGTACGGCTGTCCTGGCGCTAAATAGATGTTGTCACAGAGGAGTTGTTATTTATTTGGTATAGCAGTGGGCCGCAAGCTTTGATGAGATGTTTAAAGGATAAGGATGCCACATTTGTACAGCATCAAGAGTGATTGCGGCCATTAGTGGTTGAAATGAAAATGGGGTTTTAGAGAAAGGTTATTGTGAATTGAGTATTTTTACATGGCTGCCTGGGAAATCCTAGGAAGTACTTCATGCCCCACTTAGTGATGAAGTTTGTGAATTATTTGTTGTTGTTGTTGTTTTACTTTTTGCAACCGTTGCGCAACACCCCGAAACTAAAGTCCCATTGGTACCGTAGCTTTTCTACGCAACACGCGGCAAATGTTGAGGCAGATGCAACGAGCCATTTCGACCATGATGTTTGGGATATTGATGCCATCCCGCATGGGTCACTAAGTAGACCGCAGATGCAGGCCAGTGTTGTGATGACGCCATCACAATCTCACCGATTCACGCTTTCAAGCCCAGGCTTCACATCGCACCGATTCACGCTTTCAAGCCCAGGCTCTATTGTGTGTGTGTGTGTGTTTACTCTTGCAAATTTATGTCCCACTATTAATTTATCACCACAAACACAACTCAGGAACAGCAGGTGTTTCTCTGCTCCCCAACTCATGATGCGTTCAGGTGTCTTTTTTTTGTAAATTATTATTAAATTCAAATTTAGTTGGGAAATGCCATCTGTTAAGAATGGAAATCTTGAGGTTGATAGCAGCTGACAGCTTTGACTAGAGAACTGGAGACTCACCTGATGGGTGTTAGTGAAATTTAATATTTGTTTTTCAAAGTCAAAATAAATTATATATCCTGGGCGGGCAGATTAAACAAGTCCTTGGGGAGGCGCTGTTGCTCATGCCTTCCTTCTGTTGCTGAAATCTGTTCAGAGGTGCAGAAATTAAATCAGACCTTCTGGAAGATTTATTTTTCGACCACCCCACCCTCTAGCCCCACCCTCACCTAAAAAAAGGTGAAATCATCTTCTACTTGTCAGGCTCACTTGAAGGCCCAAGTGTGACAAACTGCATAGTTATAAAATAGTATAATTGACAGAATAGTGAATAATTATGTGAATGTGTTTGCACATTTCGAAGGGAACAGTTTGGGGAAGGTGACTGGGAGCAGAGCGTTAGCCAGGCACACACTTAATGAACACCCAATTTATGGAAGCAATGTTGAAATGTGTCTCCGTGGAGCTGCTCTTACTGTAAGTAGTTCAAATATTTTGGCAGAATATGCCACATATCTTCTGGTTTAATTTAAGATTGAGCTCAAATATAATCCTTCATCGTTCAGCTTCATCAGCAATACTGGAGTCTGAGCTGATTACATTACCCATCAATAGGTTACCATGTGTCAATAATCACAGTTGAGGTCTATATTGTCCAAAGGCCAGATAAATGAGAAGCATATTGTTGGGAAGGGAAATAATATTTATCTTTCCATTGTCACCTTGTTGTTAGCAATGGGAAAACACTTAAAGAAGGAAAGAATCCAGAAATGGTTAATAGTCAAAAATGACAACCACAATTTTTTTTTGTTTGTCTATTTTTTCCATTGCACAGTTTAGTGAAATGAGCTCTGCAGTGGTAGAGTGGTGGGTGTTGTTGCCTTACTAAATGATGAAATTATTTTAAGGTAAACTGTCGACAGAGTCAGATTGATCACGCTCAGCGAGGCTCGTCTGATGCCAACAAGGGCTCTGGCCTGAGGTTGAAGCCTCCTCTAATGCATGCTGGACATTGGGATGGTATTTTTTTCCATTGCAATTGCATTTTTTTTAAATGGCACCTTTAAAATGCTAATTCTGAAAGCCTTAGGTATACATTAAAAATAAATCTCTGTCCATTTCTTAAATTCTAAAACTACTTTCCTACTAAAAAACAAACAAACAAATAATAATAATAATAAAAAAAACACTGTTTGCTGTAATGCCATTACACACGATCCCAAAGAAATTCTCCTTAATGTTCCAGTAAATTAGCAAAAAATTTCTCCCAGCAAAGACCATACAGGTAAATATCATAACAAAGATTTAAAAATATATTTAAAAAAAACTCAAACAGGTAAAAGGAAAGTTTTGGTTGTAATATCGTTGCACACCTAATTAAATCTCCCTTTGTTAATAATTAAAACAACCGCGTTGTTATATGTGTAGTGTGACCATTCATTTGCGTCCTTAACCTTTGCGCAGGCATTTGTGTTTTTCATGAAAACTACCTTCGCACTTGGATTGTGTAAAAAGAATTTGCTGCTAACGAATGAAGACAACCTTCCCCCGCAATGTGATTCTTTCTGATTGGCTCTCTTCTCCATTCATCCCTTCCTAATAGTTTCAGCACCTTATGATTCGTTTACCACTATCTTCTCTATGTTTGTAATAGTCATAATTAGTCTTCAGCCGTGAAAAGGGATCGTTGGCGAATATTTGTCGACAAAATTAACACTGCTGTGTTGTACTTTGTAGCGCTAGTTAACTCACCTGTAACATAACCCTCTACTCTTATTAAACACTACCTAATTAGAGGGGATTTTTCTATTTCTAGTACATCAAAGGTCTAAAGGTTATAAGCTTCCTTGTTATTTTGGTGGCTTTTGGTCACATGGTTACCCAATGAAAACTATAAATTAGAGAAGCTTCGTCTTGCAGTTCCTTCCACCAGCATTGCATCAGTCAAGTGAAGATAATTGTTTTAATCAGATTTTAATTAATACTATTTTTTTTAAACTCTAAGCCCTACTGTTGTGCATGTGCTAATCTTGTGAAGCAGCGGCGCGTGCATATTGAGAGAAATAAACCTCAGTAAATATACAGTGTATGTATGCTATATAAAGATAAGCCAATCTATATTCTGTCTTTTCCTTTTGCAAACCCTTGATAATCGACACCACAATATTCAAAGTAGGATTTTTCATCTTCTTTTCTTGTAATCCTCAGTGTCTCTGTGCATCGTTGAATATTAAGAATGCGATTGTTATATTGAACAGGCTACTGCTGTCCTCCTATTAAAATAAATGTGAAAATAGATCACCGTCTTCCATCGCGAAAAGACAAAATAACACAACAGAGTTAGCTCTCGTCACAGCATCCACTTTGCATTGCTTACTTCCACACGCATACATTTATTTGTCGCTCTTCTCAAAGTGTTTGTGGCCAACTTCTTATTGACTGGACTTGAAGAATCCCTGCACCGTGTTCCACAAAGACTTTAAACCTCAGATGTTGTGGTTTATTGTCAAATGCTCCAGCGTTTGTCCTTTTTTTTTTTTTTTATCAGTGCAGCAAAATTAATTAATGAAAACTGACATCACAATATTGACTGCAGCACTGTCCAAATTGCTGGAGGATGCATTTCTTTGCCTTTATGATAAAGCCCAGTAAACAATGTTCTCGTGCTCCGTGCAGAATCTTGGCATAAAATCGATACAGTCAAATATTTTATTGCTGTCACAATGTGCAAACCTAAGCATTTAATATGTCTTATTTGTGGGTTTTTTCCCCCCTGTAGATGGAAACACTACAAATACTGTGATTCCATTGGTTTCTGTTTTATCTCTTCTGGTCTTTTCATACAGTGTTTGGCGACAAATGCAATTGTTTTGGTCATTTTTTGTCAGCTTAATGTCAGTAGGCAAGCTGTAAGAAATTACGTTTCATTACCTAGGAATGTTTTCTAAAAGAAGTGCCTCCATCTTCTCGTTCTCAGACTGTCAGAGGCTCTGTTTTTTTGGGATTCCCTTCAAGTGCTGATCTCCCACAGTCCCTCCACAGTGGCCCATTTCTCTTCTCTTTCTTTGCCTGTTGAATAAGTTCTCCACTCTCTGGGGTGCAAGATGGAGGCGAGGGTTTAGAACCACTACTCCTCTCTACTCCATCCCCTCTCTGTCTTCCGTAAGCCTCGCTCCTTCTTTTTTTTTTTTCTTTTATATCGAACGAGGTTCTACTGTTTTGGTTGCCTCTCATGGTTACGCTTTTGCACTTAC